GACTTTGCGACGTCATAGGTGATTCGCCTCTGATATCGAACAAACTATAAATAAAGAGTATGGAAAGAAATCAAGAATTGAAAGAAAGTTGATGTGTCAGATTGTAATTGTAAATTTGTAGTGTGATAATTAATATTGAATAATTAAAATTGAAGGTAAAAACGAATGTAGTAGATTGTAGAATGTGGAGAAAGCAAGAATTATTGTTGGAATGTTGTGTGAAAAAAATTTGAAAATGGGTTTAGGATATTTATAGAATAAAAAAAAATTAAAGTGGCCGAAATAGCCACTTTTTTTAAAACAATGACAGTTTCGGTCACTGTACTAGCGAGCCACGAGCTAGGCTTGTGGTGAGTTCGTTGGCTCGCCTGTGTGTGAGCCGACTGGTGTCGACTTGATTGGCGAATTGGCCCGTTCGGCTCGTACTCGAGCTCATCAAAGTACGAGCCTGAGCAGCCCACGAGACTAGCGGTTGAGCCAACGAGCTGCTCGACTCGTTTAACACCTCTAGGGATGAGAGTTGGGGTGATAGCGATGCTACAATTTTCGAAGATATCAAAAATTGCACGTTTGGTAATCTTATGGAGCGTTCTTCTGAATTGTGGATGTGTGCGCATGGTCTGGGAAGAACAACAAACTTTTTTATTTGTTTGTTTTTCCTTTATTCAATTGGAATAAGGGTAGAAATGCCTTTTTGACAAGAAGTTGTCGTTTCGAAAAGGGTAATTATTACCATCACACAAGTTATTTACTATACCACAAAAAATACAATATTGTGACTCCTCATTTTTCTCATCCTCTCTTCTTCTACGATAAGATTGGGGGTTTTCTTCAACTGGATTTTTTTATGGGTAAATTTGGAGTTTCAAACGTTGATTTGACAATTTAATGCAATTATTTCCATTTGAATAGGGTACCGTGTTCGTAAGGGTAGCGCAATCAATGACCGTGTCGTGTCTGCAATTGCTATACTGTTCCATCAATTTCTTTCCAGATTTATAGCTGCTTAATCCAGATGAGTGAGACTGCCGACGGGGTAGGAATTTAAATCATTATTGAATAGAAAATGACACTTGCTC